AGCTGAAATCTGTATCTAAGGTGGGGTATCAGCGTCCATATCATGGAGCACGAAAACCGGAGCTGATTTAAGTCGAGCTTCGGACGGTTGGTAATGTAACATGTTCCTTTTAATTGAGTTCCATCAAAGGAAATGTCAAATGCAAGTTCACAAGGTTTCATCCGCCAGAAACCTTCATAGCTTTTTTGTTTGATGTGACAATCGGAGATCGTCTAATCATCTGCCAAGTGCGCTTGTAGATGGGGCTGATGTCTGAGACTGGGTCAAGCTGGAGGCCCACCAAATTACCACTGATGATATCTCTAAAATACTGCCTCCGTGCTCAACTTCAGTCTGACACTTAAGACCGAATAAGATAAAGGTCGTTGGGGAACACTTGTCTTCCAATTGCCTGCCCTTGATTTTGGGTTTTGGCGTACCAAGCAGTTATCTTCCTTATACCCTTATTTATGATATTTCTGAAAAACGAGCTTCCTGTATAGACAGAAGAGAACGAAATGCCAGTCACCACACAACCCGCATGCGGTCGATGATTTTGAGTGTGTAGTCTTGAGGCTTATGTGCGGGTGATAGCATGAACGCTGGCGACGACAAGTGAAAACTGGGTAGCTACACGATGGCCGAGTCGTGCCAAAGTGTATTTGAAGGTCATGGAATGGAATCCTCCGTGCCCCTATTCGTATGTAATTAAGATTAAACAATTATACACCAAATGTGTTTAGGTAAATACTTTATGTCGTAGGTAGTTCTGCAGGGTTATTTGCCGTTTATGAAAAATTAAGTAACCAAACTGCCATGTAAACTCAACTATAGGATACGACGTTATTATTTCGTTTGGGCCTGCGCTCTACGGTCGAACTACCTGCTGACCGAAAGAAAACCTTCGTTGGTCTAGTTGCGTACGTTCGCATTCGACCCTGAATAGATAAATACTGAGATAACTCATGTTTTGACACCCAAAGAAATCTTTAGCTTCAAACGAATAATTATACCCCTAGGAATGTCCACAGCCGGTTGCAACTACGTGATGTATAAGATAGGAAATGTTTTAGCTCTTTCTGTATATGACAGACTGGTATAGCCATTCACCTGTTTTGTCTCTCATCGTTGCACCTGCTTGATGCGGTCACTGTCTTCTGTCATTCGAAGCATTCATGCTGGCGTTGCCTATTTCAAATGTGGTCTAACGAACGTACTACGTACAATCCACGCGAACACAAACACGCCCTGTTTAACACATCAGACTCGTTGCACTTTGGACGGTTATTTTACAGTACATTCAGGGCAGCAGGTTTTAAGCTGTCCACTTACCCAGATTTTGTGTGCATCGGCCGATTTTAACAAAATTCCATTCATGCAGTAGTGGCGTTTTAAAGAAGACTCTTCGACAGCCTGCAAAACGTAAGACATACATTGAACCCGACGACCAGTTTAGCAATATTTCCTTGCGGGTTTTTGCGTCGTCAAAATTGTTTATTGTTTTTCACATTGTTATAACACCTGCAGACATGGTGGCATCAAAATTAAAATTCTCGATGCAGGTTATTATATAGACGAGGAAGGGAAGCGGCTCTACGACTAAATTCTGTGGAACATCAGTTTCTACTCATACCCATTTGGATGCTGTGATACCAACCATCTGGAGGAGGAGGCCATCTGACTCACTATAACGGTACCGAAATCAAGTAGCCTGGAAGTTTTGACCATCTACCGACAACACAGAAGTGATACCAGGGCTGACGCTGGTCTGCTAGAGGAATTAGCCAGATTAACTGCTCGGCCGGACGTCTTGATTATGAGTGATTGCAATGCTCCGCTCATCGAGTGGAATTCAACATAAGCACGTGGTCCAGGGCAAGCATTCGACTGGCGTTTACTAGACTTGACACTCAGTTAACCTATCAGTCGACACGTTCTATTCCCCACCACCGTGCGTGAGGGGCAGCAATCAAACTGCCTAGAGCTGGTACTCACGAAATCGATGGATAGCATCGACGAGGTGCAATCTCTACCTCCTTGAGG